CTAAAATAATGCCGATGTCTTGTAGTATAACAGTTAACACCTCTAAGTCACATGGATGAATGGACCAACATTATCCTTAATAAGAGACAAATGCTCAAAGGACATTAAACACTGATACCACAATCCCATTGATGAATGCGAGTGACACACGCTCGACATGTGTGTTGCATTTTTGAGGAAATTTTTTGTTATTATTGTTTAGAAGACTTCTGATTAGCATGTAGTTATTGGGATTTGTTGAATCACTATATTCCATACTATTTAACATGTTTGAGCAATCAATATAGACGATTCCAGAACCAAAAGCGCTTACATAGGGGCAAAATATAGACTAGTTTGTGTTAAATCTTTATTGAATTTATGATTGAGAGGAATAGAAAAGATGCTTTGGAAAAGATCGCGCCAGTATTATGATAATAGCTATATGAACTACTGGTTTACTGTCAATGTGCCCTTGCATTAAAAAGTTCAATACTGCTGAATTTCACACTACTGACTCTTCATGATGCATGATCTAAATAATTATTTCATATAATTGACGAACCAGCACATACAAAGAAGAAAATTTGGCAGGTTGCATTTTGGATGCCTGTTGTGTTCTATGCCTTATAAATCATTTAGAATGTTACTTATTGTGGGAAGTGGTTTTGCACGAGGAGCTTCCTTATCACTGTGTAGTTGGAACTGAATGTGTTATCTTGAAAGCTTTAACCACTCTTTGGGACTTTGTATGTAAAATATTTCTTAATTGAGTTAATTCCTTGCATGCATGAATAAAAGATAAAGTGCGAGTTGTAATAAATTTTGCTTTTTTACAGGTTTTAAATCCTCTCCATTCAATTAATGAAGGAATTTAAGTGGATGGTTAAAGCATTGGATTGTATTGGGAAGCAGTAAATGTGCTCGGACTCTTTGAATCGGTTTTTAGCAAGATAAATTGTAAGACATCTAATTGCTTAGATGTCATACAGAAGCTTGACCGCACGTTCTTTGCACGTGTCATGTGCCTGCCTCTAACACAGTATAAACGAACCATATCCCTAAGCCTTTTCAATCTCTTCCTCTTTTTCTCCTCTTTGGTCTAGATAGTCTCTTTGGCAGACCATTTCAGCAGGAAATCCTTGTTGTTATCCAGAAGTTGCATGAAAAATGTAAAAAATATATCATTCCCTTTTTAGCATTCTCCTACTCAATTTGTTAACAAAATCCTTTGTTGTTGTCAGCCTTCTCTGTTAAAGAATTCAAGGGAGTTGTAGATAGTTCCATTGAAGTGCTGGAAAATCGATTTCATTACTTAGTGGTTCCTTATTTTCAGCAAAATACTTCATAAAAGTTAGTGTTTACTTTGTTCTTTTAATAACTTAATTTTATTTTTTTTAGGGGAATGGCGAAATGCCTACACTTCCAGCAGCAGTGCCTAAATCTTCAATCTTGAATGCACAGATCTGCTCTTTGGATACTGCATTTTGAAGTCTCTGGTCGGTTGGTAAGGTCCAAATCTCTGATCTGGCCTATGTAGATCTACATAGTTGGGCAACAGGTTTTGAAATGTTTGATTGATTAATGCTTGAAGAAGCAATCTGACCAAAATGCTTTAGAAAAACGATGGGATTAGGTATTTAAAC